TTGGGGTCTCAAGCCCCACGATCCTCAATTTCAAAGGCAAGCATAGACTCCAGAAGTCCAGAGCTCCCTTCACAGCTCAGTGCATTCTGTCTCATCTCTAGTCGCCAACTCCACATTGGGGACAAGGCCCCACTGGAGGACATGAGGATGCCAGTCATGGGCATTGTTCAGTGCCTGGGCTGCCCACATTGGAAACAGTTTCCTCTGAGGCAGAGGCTCTGATCTGGGCCGTTTCCAGATCCTGCCCTCGGAGTAGTTCCCAGCCTTCGGGATTACCATGAGTGACTACTGGGTGAGAGTTAAATCAAAGGTTAAGGTGCCGTGCCAATTTCATTATAATACTTCTCGGAGTTATTTGAAACTTCTCTGATATCTGTTCTGAATTGTCCTTACACTGAGAAGTGAACCCCGAGTTTCGATAGATCCTGCAAGGAGTGGCTGAGTACTGTCAGGAGGGCAAAGTCCAGTTTACAGGTTTTTTTTTTTTTTTTTTTTTTTACAAGGTATGTCCTTCATTGCTTATACAAAAGCGCTAGCTGGAGAATGCACTCTCAATCTAAATTTTTGTTTTTCTAGCTAAACTTCTTTCTTGATCATTTAACTAAAGGGAGAGTCCAGTGGGGGACTAACTAAAAGTAATAGAAGAAGCACATGAAGGCAAGGGGGCTGGAAGAGAAGGCAGCCTGGAGTTCTTAGTCTTAACTTGTCCCAACACATTTTTTTTTTTGAGACTCTCACCCTGTTAAGCTGTGAGACAGTAGTTTTCTAGCTTTTGTTCCAGATATATAGGCCTAATTTTTAACAACCATGCATCCACGCATATTTTTCTTTTTTTTTTCTTTTACCTTGGGGAATTTGATGTTTAAAAGGAGCAATTAAGCTTGTCACATATTTATATTGAGCAAATTTTTTATTTTTGGCAACTCTAAATTTTAGCATATACCAGCAGCTTATGAACATGTACAAACAATAACAAAATTTGCTTAACAACTTTCCAATGTGAAACCGAACAATCTTAGTAACAGACTTTTTAATATTTTTTAATAAAATGTAAGGACCAATAATAGGAATAACTAAAGCATGTTAGCTTAGCAACAAGAATAATAAGGAGGACTCAGAGGGAACCAGGCAATAATGTTTCTATGAGTCCATGTTTAACATTGGATTTATCTCCCTTTACATCAATTTTACCTCTTTAATTCAGGTGCATTGCATTGGCTACTTAGTATGTAATTTTGTCAAAAATTTTCTTACTTTTCTTTGGTCAATTTTGGCTTACCAGTTTAGAAAACCAATCAGTTTACATAGAAAATGAAGATTTTACCCAGTTAAATTATTAGATTTTTAAGAAAACTGTACTTGTAAGAGGAAATTTTCTTTTCATCATCTTTGTGAATTTCCTTAAGACATAACATTAGGATTTTAGCCATAGTTAATGCTCTGAGAAAAATTCACAACTGCCAAAGAAATTTGGCTATATCTGCCAGTTTAACCTAATAGCCTATCATTAACTTCTGGGAATTTCAAATTATTTTGGAGTACAATGCATATATAGGCATATAAGTACATAATATTTATACATATATCTCAAACATAGTATCAATAAAATTAGAATTAATTGGTTGGACAATGTTTTTTATTTTTATCCAACATATAAACAATACGCCTGATTGGTTTAACCATCTCTCTTTTGGATGTTTCAGGGGCCCTCTGTAAACATCTCAGAGTTACTTTGAGGTCAGAGATCCTCGGTTAGCACTAAAACTAAAGCCAGGAAAAGCTAGTCATGAATTCATTTCTCTATTAGATATCCACTATGTAAAATGCAAGACACAACACATAAATACTAGCTGTTTCATTAAACCAACCATATTAAGATAAACGTAATGTTCCTTGATCAATAAAAACCTAGACAAAATATATGTTGGAAATTGTGAAGACTTTTACTTATTAATACCTTTTTTTTTAATTACACTTGAAGCCTGCTCATTCACTAAAGTTATATGAACTTTTAAAGCATTTAAACTAATTTATATGAATGCTCTTTTTATAAACTAAATTGAATAGAATTATTTAAGGCCTTTTTTCACATAGACATACAACATGCAGTACATAACATGACAAATTACATGTATAGGTGCACACACACATCAGGATTATATGAGCCATTTTCTCTGGGGTTACTTTGACATTAATACTCTTTAGAGCAAGCCCCTTTTTTGAAATCTTTAATTATACACTCAAGGAAGATGGATTTTAACCTTTTGTTGTCTATACCATTAGAGTTTTACAACACAAATATTTTTAATATTTCTACTCCATTTAAGTGTGATGTTTTTAAAAGGCCCTCTCAGTTTTGGGATGGAGAATTTGATGCCATAATCACAAATTTCCACAAATGCCTCATTGAAATGCTTAAGCATGCATTCTGAAGGACTTTAAAGGAGCTGTTCCAGCCTTTCATGATTTTTAAAAAGGCAAGTATGCTCTTTGGTCAGGATCTACCCTGGGGCATTCCAGGACCCTCTTGCTTCTACCCATACCTCCTAAAAGGGGGTTGCTTTGAAGAGTATTAATGTCAAAGTAACCCCAGAGAAATTGGCTCATATAATCCTGATGTGTGTGTGCGTCTATACATGTGATTTTTCATGTTATGTACTGCATGTTGTATGTCTATGTGAAAAAAAAAGGCCTTAAACAATTCTATTCAATTCATTCCTCTATTCATACCTCCTATGGGTAGAAGCAAGGTAGTTTTCAGCAATAGTACTGTGATTCTAGGGATCATTAGTTCTTGAAGAACTCCTTGATTAATATTCTATTACTCGATATCCCCAAGTAAGGAATAGGAGGGATAGAACCAAGAAATGTTTTCCAAGAGGGTGCAGAGGAAATAATTAAAATGGCAGAAGAAACAAAAGAAACTCATAGAAAAATCATAAGATATCCAGGGACTTAAACCTTGATATTCCAGGGACTCAAACCCTGTCAGGTACTCGTTCTTGTGCCATAGCTGTAGCTGTGGGACCACAAACACAGTCACACAGTCATTCGCTCATCATGCACACAAGAGGCTATTACATTCCTTCCCACTAATCCAGAAGAGTGTGGAGAAAATAAGTACAACGACAGTAAAAACAAGAAATCCATAAAAAAAAAAAAAGACTGTGAAACTTCCACGGACTCTAACTCTGATTTCCCACAAACTGTCTAAGGGCTAGGAGGGGGGACTCAAACCCCTTACCATGTAGCCCCCAGATTCCAGCACATCTGGTAGAACCTAAGTAGGGGTTCTGTAATCCTGTCTGGTCAACCTTGAATCCAGCCACCTGTGGAGGGACTCAAATCCTCAACCCAGGAATTCAATCCCTATCAGGGACTCTAACCCTGATTTCCTGCAGTTTGGACTTTCGCGGGCCTTCCAGGGATCAAACCATTCCTGGGATTCCCTCCCTGTTCCATGGCCAACCCCTTACCAGTTTGTCTTCACTGAAGCAGATAGAACAGGACAGGAACACTCAAAGAAATGCCTCCAGAGGTCTTACAGCAAAACTCCACAGACTTTTGGAGGAGCAGTCAACATCTCTTGACAGCTGCCAACAATCCTGAGAGGAGCTCTGGGGCCCTGGGAAATCCCAGGTGGTGCCTCCCAGGCCAAGTGAGCCCGCTCTCCTAGGATGCCTCACCCACGTACCAGACAAGTACATGATCTCGCTGGGACCTCTAAATGTTATAATCTACTCAACGAGAAATAAGAGGACATCCAGACATAGCCAAATTTATTGGAGTTTATTGATTAGGCCAGCAGGAGTGAATTGATGATTTAAAGTGAAGGGGCTTCTGTTTCTTAACTCTTGACAGCTGCCAACAATCCTGAGAGGAGCTCTGGGGCCCTGGGAAATCCCAGGTGGTGCCTCCCAGGCCAAGTGAGCCCGCTCTCCTAGGATGCCTCACCCACGTACCAGACAAGTACATGATCTCGCTGGGACCTCTAAATGTTATAATCTACTCAACGAGAAATAAGAGGACATCCAGACATAGCCAAATTTATTGGAGTTTATTGATTGGGCCAGCAGGAGTGGATTGATGATTTAAAGTGAAGGGGCTTCTGTTTCTTAACGTCTAGACTAAGGTTATGGGCTCTGATCTTAACATCCTTGAAATGGTCTGCTATAAGCATCAGAGGGGAAGTTTGAATCTATCCCATTTCTGTCATAAAAACGTTCACACCAACAGAGATAGGTAATAAACACACAGACAGAACAAATGCGGCCGCGCAGATGCTCTTCAGCAAATGAAAAGCGAACGTAAAGTGGGATAATGACCTCACACCGTGCTGTGGGAGCAACCCACTATGTCCCCTCAGAACAACTAGGGGCACTCTGTCCCCTCCTGAGGACCCTGGGACATCTTCCAGGTCCCTAAGATTAGTGGCCTGCCAGCGCGTCCGGTGGACCAATTCAAATCTATTACAGAGATAGGGCCCTCAGAGACCGAACAGGATAAACACAGAGACAAAGGAAACACTCACTGGCCATTATCAGTCGACCCTCTGGTTTGGGGATCCTGGGGGGTCTTGGGGAATCCTGGACAAACCCCCAAATGTTGTGCACCAGTCATGAAGTTCCCAAAAGACCACCAGGGAGCTGTTCCGATGTAAGCACATGAGGGTCACTTTTATTCAGGCTCGAGCCAGGACTCCCAATCTCACAGGCACAGCAGGTTGGAGTTGAGAGCCCCCGTGTTAGTTGGGCTGGGTTTTTATTTGGCTGTTAGAGGGGAGGTCGAGGGGTGCTGAGGAAAGCACTCGGCAGCTACACATTGGCCGTAGATTACAGGGAGTATAGCTGTTTCTGGTATCTCCTTTATTTTTCTTTTTTTAATCTCAGCAGAAAAGTTACTTTAGGTTTCTGGTATCTCCTTTCTTTCTCTCATTGGTCAGTCCCAGTAGGATGATGGTCTCATGACTTTTTCCTATGGGACTGGCTTGCCTCCATGAAATGGCACCAATTCCAAGCAAGGTGGGTTTAACAAAATGGAGTCGCCCCGAAAGAAATGGAGTCACTCTGGCCCTTCATCATAAAACCAATTCAAGGTGCATTTCCCTCCCAGGTTTCCCCTGGTAAATAGCACCCAAGTAAAGCTTTAGTTTGGACAAGACAGATCTGCAAGAGAGCCTATTGGAGTTGGTTTGCAGATCAGAGTATACGATGGTCTTTTCTTTTGCTTTTTAGTCTTCCCCAGGCCCTGTCACAGAAGCTGTGAAGGTGGCCATTGATGCTGGGTACCGCCATATCGACTGTGCCTATGCCTATGAGAATGAGAATGAAGTAGGCGAAGCCATCCAAGAGAAAATCAAGGAGAAGGTTGTGAAGCGGGAGGACCTTTTCATCGTTAGCAAGGTACACAGGATTCCTTTATTGGATGACTTAACTTCAAGGCAAGGGGAAGTACTTGGTTAGCACCAAGAATTCTGTGAGCCTTTCCTATGTGAACTTATTTCCCCCAACACCCTTTATAACATTCCTGACTATAAGCATAATCTACTCCAGACCAGTATTGGCATGTGACAATGCTGCCACCCCACTCACCTTCAGATTGGTTTCTCCACAGTGGAGATGACTCTGTTGAGCCTCATGGTGTTCTGGACTTCTCTGTTTCCTGCCAGTGGGATCCATCTGCCCAGCAGCAGTCAGAGGCTAAGGTGCACACAGGGATGGATCCTAATGGCCACCTTTAATACTGTGGGCTCCATGACTATGGCTCTGAGGTTCTTACGGGTATTTTGAAAAATTGCGGGAGCATTTTTTATGGTCACATAGAAATTCCTTTTTATTTTAGTAGAGTAAAAAGAAAAGGTGAGTTATAAAATATCATTAAAAATGGGGGAGGTGTTACATGTGAAATGTTCACAATCACTAGATCTGAATTATATACAACTTGCTAAAAAACACTAGTGACAGGTACTTGGAAAGTCCATGCATCTGGTAGGACAAAGAGCCCCATCATGTACAGTGGCCAATTCAGGATAAACGCCTATAAACTCATCAGCTAGGGCCCGATATGCTTGGAGAGAAAGGAACATCAGCTCCCAACATAAGAATCCTTACAATTTAAAAACTAGACACCATCCCTGCCCTCAGAAAGCAGACATCTGACTAAGAGAACAATACAGGTAAAATATTTGATCAGGGACTACATTTCCTGGTGAATATGAGCCATATAGAATAATAAAGTTGAAAAAAATAAATTGCCCTCCAGACTTAATGGAATGTTAAATGCTTGCTTAGCCCTGGGGATTATGTATCTTAACCAAGTTTTATAAACAGCCTGCCCCCAGGTTAGATGAAGTACAAATAGTGAGCAAGGATAATGAATACGATGAGATCCTTTCTTTCCCCAGTGTGACTCCTCATTGCTATTCTCTTTGCAGTTGTGGCCCACCTTTTTCGAGAGACCCTTAGTGAAAACGGCCTGTCAGAAGACTCTCAAGGATCTGAAACTGGACTATTTGGACATCTATCTTATTCACTGGCCACAGGGTCTACAGGTTGGAGTTGTCCCTGCCCTAGTCTCCCGTTTCTGAGAAGCTAGCAGAAAATAGAAGCTGTACCAGGGCTGGGAGGAGGGGTGGGCTGAAACAGGAGCTCTGGTACTTCATAGTTGTGACCTGCAGGTCATCATGAGGAGACAATGGAGCAGAAAGGCTTTGGGCTGAATGACAGGCTGAGGCCACAAATAGCTGCTGCAGTGGCCATGGTACCCAGGTATTCCTGCAGTGATGCCTGAGATAAACCATGATTTATGGTAGCCCCGAGATCTGATAACTGCCAGATCACCATTGTCTTAAATTCCATGCCCTTGTCGAACACTTGTAAAACAACATTTCAGGGCCCAATCCTTGTATTCACCAAAGCACACCCTGGGAGTGGCATCTTAAAGAACAGTCTACATAATGTAATGTTGTAGGGTAGCCAGTTCTCTTTAAGGAAACAACAGTCTTCACTCAGGGTCTGTTCCTGCTTACTCTTGAGAGGTGGAGAGACACGAGTTCCCAGTTCTCTTCCCTAGTGACCAGCTTGGGTGATGATGGCATGACATTCTTACACTTAAGCTTCTAGAGGTTGGTAGGATAGATACTACCCAATATCTTTCTCAGAGAACCACATCCTGGAGATATAAACCTTGTCAAGTCATCTCAAAATCAAAGTTTGCCTTCAAGCATCTATGGGGTCTGGATACGTGAAGTTAATGTCCATGGTGGTCATGATGGCTTGCTGGAAGGTGCAAATAATGCATTTTAAAACCAATGCAGCTGTTTCTAAAATATGAAGATTTATATACCACAGTAGATTAATATAGAGAGTTTATTTAAGCTCATATTCTTGAAGTATATACTCTGGAGCATGAGGAAAAACAGTATGTGGATATGAGAATTTAGTGTGAACCAGGATCCTGAAGTTTCTTTAATAGAACAAGCAGTTCTATTAAAGAAACAGTCAATAGAACAAGCGGTTCTATTAAAGAACAATGCAGATTCCAGTAAGCTTTTTGTTTTGCATTCCCAGCCCAGTAAGGACCTTTTCCCCAAAGATGATAAAGGCAATATCCTCACCAGCAAAGCAACGTTCTTGGATGCCTGGGAGGTAGGTTCCTGCTTCTTCTAAGTGTGCTGGGAGGGAAACCTTTCCTTCATTCATGTTGAAACTACACACTGGTATCAAAGCGCCCACATCTTGAGTCTGTTCAATTTCATTATTGTTACCTGTTCTTCCAACTTCTTCCTCATCATCTGTCCCCTTGGGTCTGACTGATGCTATTTACATTTTCAAGGCTAAAACTGAGTCCTCAAGTGAACCTAGGATTATAATGTATCCCAACTTGGGAGATGTACATACTGTCTCAACCCAGAGGTTAGGATTTGGAACAGGGGTCTTGGTCTGAGTTTCCACATATTAGCTGAGTTAACTGTGGTAGGTTATTTCATTTCTCTAAGCCTCAGATGACTCATTAAAAGTACCTTATAATATAGATTAATAACCCATATCTTTCAGGATGTGGCAAACATTAGGGTAGCTAATATGCCAGGAACTTTGTCATAGAGCTTATTTAATCATTCACCTCTATGAGGCAGCTACTATTGCTATCTTTTCTGCAAATGATAAAACTTGAAAGCCAGATAGGTGGTCAGTTTCCCTGGTTCCATAGCAAATGTGTGGCATAGCTTGGGTTGGATTGAAGTCTATCTGACTCACAAGTACAACCACAAAAGCCTTTGCACCTTGCTTGGCATATGGTGAATTTACTTACACCCAAAGATTAAGTGTTCTGCTTTTCAGATCAAATAAAGACTTGTGATTTGTGAAGTCTCTGCTCTGCTGGAGTGTAGGTTTAAGAACTTGAGCTTGAAAAAGAAGTGAGGTACTTTTGGGACTGATTGCATGCTGCATTTAATAAGCTCACAGAGCTGCCATCTACAGATGTACCTTCTTTTATAAAGGAGGCCTGAAGGATAAAGGCTTGGTGCCAAAAGCAAGTCCATGTAATAGGTGTATGCGTATTACAGAAATGCAAAGTCATGGTTATGTAGTGGGTTCACAAGAGCTCTATATCTAATTAGTCTTTCCCATGGCCTTCAAACTAGATAAAGTCTCCAAGTGAGGTAAACAGGAAGTGAGGGAGCCAGACCATCCTGATTCCATTTGCAACACAACTTGTCTCACAGAATTCATAAATATTGACTTAAGGGTTTTTCTTTGATAATTTTTCCCAACCTTCATATCCTCTTGCAAAGCTGCAAGACAACAAAGTGAATGAACGAGTTGTAAATGAATAGTGACAGAAAGACTCCAAGAGTTAATTATGTTATGCTGTCTGCTGTCTTTGTGGAGGCACATGTAGTTGTGAGTTTATATTGTTTTTTACAACTTGATATATTAATTGTTAAGCCTAACTTTGCTGGAAAGCTTTGAAATGATATGACTGTAACTTTTCTATAGGTTGTTTATTCACAAGTGTTTATCCACAAGCACATCATTCATGCTGCTTTCGACTTTAACAAGTAGCAGTAAGAAAATTTAGATACCTAAACTGATATGATAATGAGGGCAGTGGATAATGAAGCAGAAAATCATGATCTCCTAATGGCAGTTTTGTAAATGAATTTGAAAAGAATCATTGTTGCCAGTAAATTATTGAATTTGTCTACTGGCAGTCAAAAGCCTGCCAAGAAAAGGAAGATAGAGAAAACTATCTGTATTTCTATGGATGAGTCTTGAAGACAGAACGGAAGTCCTCTGGGTAGTAAATATTGGGTCATGAGCAAGATCATGGCTCATTTTTGCATAGAAAAACAGAAAATTATAACATGACTTTCCTTTTAAAGAAAAGATGCAGAATTGATGATTTAATCAGTAATATACTGGTTTATGTGTCTGGGACTCAACTCAATGAATGTTTCATTCCTGATAGTGAAAATTGTGCCAAGATTCACATGATAGAATTTCAGTACTCATCTTTACATTAAATTTGATAGGGGAGCCTGTCATGTATCTTACCCTAGTAAAACATGACCTCCCAACTATCTCAGGAATTATTAATCGTGAGACGTGAAAACTAATGTAAATCTAATGTAAGTTCCTCAACATTTTTTGCCCTAGCCTCATGATGATATTAAATATGGCAATAATGTCATTGTCCTTTGCAAAAAGAACCTGTATTTCCACAGTGCTATCCTTGAATTATTATAGGAATGATGGCTAAATAAAACATTTTAAAGACGTAAAAAAACTACCAATGATCAAGGCTGGAGAATCTGATCTGAGACAGGCAGCTCTGAATATATAAGTAGTGCACCTATAAGGGACTCACACGGCCGGACTGAAAACTCATTGACCACCCTGAAGAAGAGGGGAAGGGGAAAAAGTCAAGAAGTATACAAACTACATCTGACCTTGACACACAGAGAATTTACATTATCCCACTGCCCATCTGAGTTTTAGGGATCTTGTGAGCTTATCCATTCTAAAGTCTGCACCAGTTCGAACCTCTTCATCATCAAGGTTGGCGATTCCCAGCTTTGGCTACTCATTAAAATAACCCGGGAAGTTTTACAATCCCGGTACCTAGGCTACCTCCCAGATGAATTTAGAAAAAAGCCCTGAGGGTACATCTTGGCATCTGAATGTTCCAAAGCTCTCAGGTAATTTCAAATTACAGCCAAAGTTGAGGACAATTGGATCAAGTGTCCCTGTACATCTCATGCCTGTCCCTGCCACTAAACCTAAGTCCTGCCTTCTTTCTCCTCCTGCTCTTATGTTCCCCCTTTTTCTCTCTGAGTTATTTTCTGAGGCCTAGTTTGAACTTCACCTATAAAGTCTTCCCTGACAACTTCAATGTGGGCTCATGCCTATCTTCTTTGTCCTCTCCGGTTCTCCGTGTTATGCCACTGTCACATCTGTTGCAGCCTCAGGGTTGTGGCTGATTGCTCCACAGAAGGGAATCCTGACATTTTAATTGACCTACAAGAATCTCAGAAGCAAGAAGTGCACTCTATACTTTTGTGTCCTATCACCCTCTGGACAAGCTCTGTTAGTATAATAAATAAATAAATAAATAAATAAATAAATAAATAAATCATATTCAATTTGAGGCTGTCACTAACACATATGGTATCTTTATTATAGGGTAAAATGTAAAAACATACCCTTCCTTGGGGTCAACTCAGTCTCTGCACTAGGGAGCGTGGCTGGGTCAGTGGCTAGCGAGCTGGATTTCACCCCACACACACCTTGGCTGGGTGCCTCTGCCAGGGCACAGTCAGCATAACGTACTTGAGTACAAGGTCCTTGAGTACAAGGCAGATTGTGGCTGCTGTGGGAGGGAGTGACTCAGAATCAGACCAGTGATGGTGCCCCATTTGGTAAACTTTCTGTCCTGCTAGCCCAGGATTGGGTGAAGCAAGAGTGACCAGCACATGAAACCTTCTCCTTTTACTCTTAGTTTCATTTAGGCTGGGGAGTGCAATAGAGCTAGAGCTGATTTCAGTGGTCTGGATTTAACTTCCTTTCCTTTCCTTTCCTTTTTTTCTTTTTCTTCTCTTTTCTTTTCTATTTTCTTTCTTTTTTCTTTCCTCTTCTCTCTCTCTCTTTCTTTCTTTTTCATCTTTCTTTTTTTTTCTTTTTTGTAATTGCCAGTCAGTGTGTACATTTGCCAGAGAAAGAAGGAGAAACAAGAGAGGAGACAGAGGGAGAAAGCATCCTCCCAGTGGGGTATGGTCACATTATACTCCCCTTTTTCCATTTTTTATCCTGACAGTATTTTGGGCATGCATTCATACACACACCCAGTGTGTTTTTTTTTTTTTTTTTGAGAGGTTTTAGCTATAGGGCGCGTGTGCTCGCCAGAAGACATAGAGACAGAAAGCGAGAAATCACCCCCCCCGAGGGGATGGCCATGCCGCAATCCCTTCTCCTCCATTCTCCTCTCGGGATCTTGGGCACACATGCACATGCACCCAGAATGAGTTTTAAGCCACCAGGTCCGGGACACGAACCGCTTTCGACTACGTGGGAGTCCAGCAACATAGCCATTACGCTAACTGCTGGTTCCCATACACACCCAGTGTGTTTTTCAAGTCACAGAGGCCAGGATTCAAACCACAGTTGGCCATATAGGATCCAGCTACCTTAAACACCAGGCTGTGGGACAGGCCTGACATTTCCTTTTAATACTTCAGCTAATTCTGCTGTAGTGTGATGTTGGTCTGCAGCCTCCAACAGGAGGTGAGCAGCGGGCAACTGAGCAAAGCTTCATCTGTACTGACAGCTGGTCCCCACTGCTCACATTACTGCCTAAGCTTAGCCTTCTGTCGGGTCAGTGGCAACATTAGATTCTCACAGAAGCTCAAACACTACTGTGAACTGCATGTGTGAGGGATCTATGTTGCATGCTCCTCATGATAATCTAGTGACTGATGATCTGAAATGAAGCTGAGGCAGTGAAGGCATGATCTGAAATGAAGCTGAGGCATGATAATCTAGTGACTGATGATCTGAAATGAAGTTGAGCCATTCCTAAGGAGTGGCTGCAAATACTGGTTAACACTAGCCGAGAGGCTTGATTGCACAGACCAAATAAATTGCTTGCAGTCTCGTATGAAAACATTATCACTAGGCCTGCATTTGGCCTGGTGGTTAAGGTGCTGGACTCCTACACAGCCAACCATAGTATGAGTCCAGGACCTGACAGCTTGCTTTTTCATTCTCTCTCTCTCTCTGTCTCTCTCTCTCTGCAGTGAGCACATGTGCCCTATAGCAAATTAAAAATAAATAAATAACCACCAGATTGGGTAATGAATGAATGGTTGGGTTGCTAGACTTCCACATAGTTGACCACAGACACCCGACTCATGTGCATGTCTGCCCAAAATCCTGGGAGGAGACTAGAGAAGGGAGTGTGACATGATTATCCCCTGAGGGAGTGGTTTCTCACTTTCTGTCTCTGTCATTCTCTGTTTCTCTGGTGAGCACATGCACTCTATAGCAAAAATCACTCTAATAATAAAAATAAAATTAGATAAATAATTCTTAAAAACAAAATAAAACAAAGAAAACCCCTGTCAGTAAGCAGCAAGTAACAGTTAAGCTGCATCTGGGGGACAGACCATAATAAATCAATTGCTTGCAGTCTCGTATGAAAACACTATCACTAGGCCTGCATTTGGCCTGGTGGTTAAGGTGCTGGACTCCTACACAGCCAACCATAGTATGAGTCCAGGACCTGACAGCTTGCTTTTTCATTCTCTCTCTCTCTCTGTCTCTCTCTCTCTGCAGTGAGCACATGTGCCCTATAGCAAATTAAAAATAAATAAATAACCACCAGATTGGGTAATGAATGAATGGTTGGGTTGCTAGACTTCCACATAGTTGACCACAGACACCCGACTCATGTGCATGTCTGCCCAAAATCCTGGGAGGAGACTAGAGAAGGGAGTGTGACATGATTATCCCCTGAGGGAGTGGTTTCTCACTTTCTGTCTCTGTCATTCTCTGTTTCTCTGGTGAGCACATGCACTCTATAGCAAAAATCACTCTAATAATAAAAATAAAATTAGATAAATAATTCTTAAAAACAAAATAAAACAAAGAAAAACCCTGTCAGTAAGTAGCAAGTAACAATTAAGCTGCATCTGGGGATGTGCTTTACAGAGGAGAGTGAGCTGATGCACTTCAATTGTACAGCTACATCTGGTGGCAGGCTCTACCTCAGAATCTGCCTCTCCTTGCTCAGTCCATAGAAAAATTAGCTTCCACAAAACCAGTCCCTGGTGTCAAAACGTTGGAGATCACTTTTGTATCAGCTTCTTTTGCCTCAGGGAAGATCCAGCGAGGTCGGGATCCCTATAGTCCCTCTAGGACTGCCAAAAACTTATTCCTCTCTTTGACAGGCCTTGGAGGAGCTAGTGGATGAGGGACTGGTGAAGGCCCTCGGGATCTCCAACTTCAACCACTTCCAGATTGAAAAGCTCTTAAACAAACCTGGACTGAAACATAAGCCAGTGACTAATCAGGTAAGTTCTGTTTGGTAGAAGGTTAAGGGTTTTGTCCTATAAATTATCAAATATTTGGGGATGAATTTAATACTATGTACCAAGTCTCCTCTCAGGGGTCAGTGATCAGGATGCTTTGGGGAAGTGTGACATAGATCCTGGGTCTGATTTAGTAAGTCTAGAAGTGGGCAGTATTTAGTCTTTGATTTGTAGTCTTTTTTGTGTGTGGAGAACTCCCTATGATTCATGCAAAAATCAGGCCAATTCCCTAGTGATGGGTTTGTTTGATTTTGCAGATCGAGTGCCACCCATACCTCACACAGGACAAACTTATCCAGTACTGCCACTCCAAGGGCATCACCATCACAGCCTACAGCCCCCTGGGCTCTCCAGATAGACCTTGGTGAGACTTCTGAGTGGTGGCTCTTTCTTATTTATTTTAGGGGCCAGGTGGAGGCATAGTGTTAAGGTCCTAGATTCTATATGGCTGACTGCATAGTTTGAATGTAGTACTCAGGAGCTTGAAAAAGTGCACTGGGAGTGTGTGCATGTGTGCCCCAAATCCTGAAAGGATGAGCCATGGAGGAGGGATTGTGGTGTGAATATCCTCCATGTTGGGTGCTTTCTTCTTCCCCTATCCTTCACTGTCCCTCTCTGAGCACACACACCTTCTGGCAAAACTTAAAAAAAGGAGAAGGTAAAAGAAAAGAACATTATTTTATAGTTGGTTAATGTTGGTATGAGACAATAAGGCACTGGAAAGAAATACGTGTCTAGACCCAAATGGGATTACAGAAAATGGGAAATAATGGGAATTTAACAAAAACATAAACAAAAACCCAGCAATATGCCTGACTTCCTCAGAATATTTTAGTTCAGCCACCAGTTGGTTCAGGCTTTGCAAATGCTGAGGATTCAAAGCCTGGGGTGAGTCCATGGGATAGGTGCACACTTTTCAGGACCTCTTGCCAGTCTTTCAGATGGAGAAGATTATGATGATCAGCCTTGAGATGCCAGTGGAGATGCTCATCTGCATGTGGTAACCATGGTGATTATTGACATCAGCCCTCTTTCTGCCTCTAGGGCTAAGCCAGAGGATCCTTCTCTACTGGAAGATCCTAAGATTAAGGAGATTGCTGCAAAGTACAAGAAAAGCACTGCCCAGGTACCATGTTTTTAGTTTAGTTTAGTTTAATTATTTTCTTTTTACTGACCAATCTGTTCTTCCAGTCTTGTGTTTTGTTCCTCGTGGTATCTTTATTTAACTCTTTAAAGAGGAAGAAAACAGGATATGAAGCCCACTCGTATGCTTCCTTGAAAGCCTACAGGGACTTCCAGGCAATATAATGGTGATCACTGGAACAAAGATCGTTTCTAACAGCTTTTCGTTAAGCCTTATAGCCCAATGACAAGAGCCTGACTTTGGAATCTAGAGGTCTGGGTTCAGATCCCAGCTCTACCACTTATTGGTTTTATGACCCCAAGCCACTTTCCCTATTTCCTAAGCAAGGAAAATCATGGAGTGGTTGGTAAGGTTAAGGGAGAAAATCAAGCTGAGGACTGCTGAGCGTCTCTAATAGTTAAGTGCTCAGTCAGTATTAGCCTGTGTACCTCAAGCCAGAATGAGCTGTAGATACTTAATTTTTTCCTTTTAGTAGAAGGAAAGGACCTCATAGTAAGTGAAATTATGATGGTTCTTTCTGTGCAGGTTCTGATCCGGTTCCATATCCAGAGGAATGTGGCTGTGATCCCTAAGTCTGTGACACCAAAACGCATTATTGAGAACTTTCAGGTAAGATTGTGTTTGGTTGACCAGAGGAGTGGAGGCCAGGGGAAACCCTCCCATTAGTCTTTTCATGCCATCCCTGCATTGTCTGTGGGTTCTACCCCCTTCCCACCACCCTGTATCTCTCAGGCCAGGGAACTAACCTCAGTAGAACTAGGATGAGTGATTGACGGGCTAGGAGATTTGTGGGGTTCAATGACTAGGAAAGTTAGTCAGGACTAATTACAGTTGTGCACATACCACTTACAAGACACTAGGTTGAACCTAAGCAGTCAGGTCATGATCCATACATGACAGCAGGCTATCCTGGCTACTGCCCACCTCCAGTAATAGAGGAGGTATGGGCTGTATTTGAAGACCTGCCCTCTGAGAGAGAGAACCCCTGTGTCCATTATGGAGCATAGACACTGTATGTTCCTGCAGTTTGAGGTCTATAATCCTGCTCTCCTTCCCTTGAAACTCTAAAGTCTCAATACTACAGTCTTTTTGTGGAACCTAACAGAGAGAATTGTCTATCTGGGGACATAATGGGAGAACTCCGATGGATAGTTAATGCCATGCATGTGAGCTCGCTTCTGCTAGAATGACTGGAGAGCTCACATCACCCCAGGAATTGGCTTGGCAATGATGGTTTGGAATGCTTACCTTTTCAGGTCTTCGACTTTAAATTGAGTGATGAAGACATGGCGACTATACTCAGTTTCAACAGAAACTGGAGGATCTGTTCCGTTACTCAGTAAGTGACATGGGGTTAAGATAATTAGCTGGATTGTCAGGAGTTTTTCTAAATCAATAAAGGATTAGTTGGAAGGAGTAGAAGGCAAATAGAACTACTTTTGTCTTCAAATACTACTTTCTGGCAGTTTTGAAAACTAAAATCAGAACATCTGGAAATCTTTTTGAAGGACAATATGTCCTCAATTGGTGCTCTTTGGGAGCAATGAGGTCAGAGCAATACAAGGGATTCTGAGCATGCAGATTGTTGTAGATGCTCTGAAGGATACTTTGTAGCTTTGAGAAAGCTTAGGATCTACTGGAGGATTTCTCATATTATTTTATTTATTAATTCGTTTTTATAGAGAGATTTTTGCTATAGGGTGCATGTGCTTGCCATGAAGACAGAGACAGCGACAGAAAGAAATCAGTGGGGTGGGGAGTAATGCCCATGCCACAATCTCTTCTCCTCCATTCTCCTTTTATGATCTTGGGCATGGATACACAAGCACCCAGCGTGAGTTTTAAGGCACAGGGTCCAGGACTGAAATTGCCATTGACTATATGGGTGTCCAGTGATGTATCCATTATGCCACCTGCTGGTCTCAAGGTTTTTGAACAGAATCGTGGTCCTGCTTATGATATAAAGGAAACACACTTTCTTCTTTCCTGTGCTGAGAATTTACAGGGAAATTCTAGGCAAGAGATGGGAGGGACTGGAGATGGGGGAAAGGAGATGAGGAATGATTGTATGTTGGGTGTGCTGAGAAAGTCAGGCCAAGTGAATCTGCTAACAAATTAGGAGTCAGAGATGGCTCCAAGTTTTTTTTTTTTTTTTTTTTTTTTTGTGGTTTTTTTCTGATGGGGCGGCTGCCTCCGAAGTTTTTTTGCTATAGGGCGCATGTGCTTGCGAGAGAGACATAGAGACAGAAAGCGAGAAATCACCCCCCCAGGGAGGATGGTCACGCCACAATCCCTTCTCCTCCATTCTCCTCTCGGGATCTTGGGCATGCACACACATGCGCCTGGCGTGAGTTTTAAGCCACCGGGTCTGGGATACCAACCACGGTCGACTATGTGGGAGTCCAGCGACATAGCCATTACGCTAACTGCTGGTTTCTCGAGATGGCTCCAAGTTTTTATTTGTTCATGATTTTGCCTGAGCAACCCACGTTTTTGGGGGGATAAATCAGAAGTTTGTTTGAAACATGTTCACCATGTCTACTGGATGTCAAGGAGAGAATGTCACATAGGCAGTTGGATTTACCAATGTGGAGATGGGAAGAAATATTAAGTAAATATTAAAGACAAATACTTGGAATCAATAGCATTTGGTTGGCATTTGAAGTTATAGGATTGGGTGAACAGATTTCCAGGAGAATACAGAGTGCAGACAAGGACTTACTATTATTTACTCCTCTCATTATTTATAGGGTTCTCTTATTCTGAGAATTCTATAGTTCTAGGATTCTTAACTAAGTATCTGTTTAAGAAGGTGGGAATAACTATCTTATTTAAATCTTTTATAAATATTTGAGAAAAAATTTTCTATCTTGATAGACAATCATTTTAAGTAGAATCTTTTCCATCAATACTTTCTGATTAATGTGTCTACTTAAATATATTGACAACTTTTATCTTTGGGAAAGATGGCTTATGGCATTTATTACTTCCACTTCCCTAGTTTATTAATAATTCGAATCTCTTTGGGTGTTTGGAAAGCCTAACCTTGATTTTTCACTTTTTAAAAAGTGTTTCAGCATCTCCAACATAGCTCTCATGTTACCATATTCCAACCTACCCACATTTGGCATCATATTTGGCCTTTCCACATGTTAGGATTACTTTTAGCAGAGAATGATAAAGCATCTGCTACTAAGAATGAAAAGGATCTGCAAAAAGAAAATGTGCCCCATCCCTGGAGCTGCTTCTCATCTTAAGAGCATCATTCCCAGTCAAGGCCATGGGTTGGTAGGCTCAGAAACAAATCCACCTGCTTCACATACTGGCTCTTCCCCTTCTTTAATAGCTGCGTGATCTTGAGTAAAGTTCATAAGTTTCCCAAGTAGATCTCTTTATCTACCAAGTTGGGATGATAATATTAATTGTAGTCCACATGTACTGAATGCTAGGTTAGAGTATGCCAGAGTCTATTCCCTTTGCTTGTAAAGTATATAATAATCTCATTTAACCCCACATATAATATATATGCTATAATCTCATTTAACCCCACAATTCCAGGCTGTCAATTCTAAGGTTACTTTCTCCAACTTCAAGGTGTGAGAATGAATTGAGACATTACTTCTAAGAAACTTGGCTTGGGGCCAGGTTATCATGAGCTATTGGTGTGAGCTGAGCAGTGCACTGCTCACTGCTTGCCTGTCCTCCTTCCTAGCATGCTCCTCACTCAATTAGAGATAATTTCTAGAGTGATATGAGCCCTCTTCGTGTGGCCTTACAAAATCTTGCAGGGAGGATGCTTAGAGAGCACAATGACCATGGAATACACAGGAGAAGAACGCCTTTTCAATCAGAGTTATTTTTTGGCTAATCACCTTCTTTATGCTTGTTTTTTTTTTTTCTACAGCGTAGCTCATTTGGATGAGTATCCCTTCCATGCAGAATATTGAAGTTGAATCTTCTAATGAGATTATCCAGTGGATTCTCTTTGCCAAAGTGTAACTTTCTCCAATCAGTCCTGTTTTATCCAAGTTGATCTGAAGTCATACTGTGCCTGGTCCTCTTATAGGCTGGAATCTAGCCCATGCTGGATCTAGATCCATGTGTTCAACCAGGAGCACATTATCCAGGGAAATCTGACCTAAATGCGCAAATAACAATTTCCATGTATTTACTCTAATTGGATGGTAAACATCAGGAAATCTGCTAACATTGATCATGCACAGATTAAAAACAATAAAAAATGATAAAAATAACCAACATGTATTAAGAATTTACTATGCAACTTGAAGTGTATCCTGTATGGGTGACCTCACTGAATCCTCTAACAGCCCCTTTGAGGTAGGTACTCTTACCATTCACATTTTATGAAGGAGAAAAAGAGGCATGTGGTGGCCATGGAACTTAACCAAAGCCACTCAAGTGGTAAGTGGTTGAACCAAGATTGAAAGGTAGGTAGCAATGGCGACTCAGGGTGATTTGTCATTCTCTTGCTCCCAGGTCGTCTCCTAGTGCCCTCTCACTTGGCCTTTCTACTTCCTTTCCTACCTTGCTTTTCATATGCTTTCACATCAAAGAGTCAACACCACTGGTGAGAGAGTACAACTATTTGAATGTCTCCCCAAAATTCATGTGCTGAGATTTGGTTGTGATGGGATTAAAAGGGTAAAAACCTAATCTGATTATGTGTTGGAAGGTGGGGGTTTTGTGATAAGATTAGATTGTAGGTCATTAGGATAGGTCCCCTTTGACTAGCTTCTCATGAGCTCAGTAGGACAGGAAATGAGACTAGAACAGAACACACAGATGCTTGCGTTCCTCTTCACCATGCTGTAATATGGGCAGAAGACCCTTTCCAGATGGAACCCTTGGCCTTGGACCTTCAACTTGTAACCTAAATTAACCTCTATTTCAATAGAGTACATAGACTCAGTTATTTTCCGCTATTGGCCACAGAAGTGATGGGAACACAGAGCCTGTGAAATCCACAAAGTTGCCACTGTATAGAGAGAGGCGTGGACTGTGTCCTGAGTGGGCAATGGGGGCAAGCATGAACAAGAAAAATGCTTACGATTACCACTAATCCAGAAGATAATATTTTCCTTTTCCTATAATTCTTTATTGCAGTTACATGGAAATGTATAGTGAATAACACAATGAGTATCTTACAAATTCAATAATTGTTAACATTTGGACATAGTTGCTCCAAACCTCTTATTCTTCTTATTATTAAAGAAATAAGCAGTTACCAATATAGTTGAGGGCCACTTTGTACCTCTCCCCACCCCGATTTTTTCCGAGTATCTCCTCTGACTCAAATTAGTAAGTGGCCTCATCTGTCCTCTGCTGTCATGTGCCTACCTTCCTGTACATTTCCAGCCTTAACCATTCTCTACTCTGTGTGGCAGAGAGGTCTGCACTACCTGTCCCAGGCTTCCTAGCCAGACAGCTTCCTCTGGGTGTGCTCAGAGATGAAAGGGCTGAAGGAAGGGGAAGGCACTCTCTGCCTTGACTGCTATCTTAGGAGAAGTCCCAATTCCTCTGTGGGCCCAGTTCTAGCCAGGCAGCCTCCACCTTGGTGCTCTCTCCTACCAGATGCCAAGGCTTCAGGGATTTGGGAAATTCACTTCCTCCTGTGACCTCCATCTCTAGGAACAGGAATCTCTTCCTGGGTCTATTAAGCCTCATTTCCCAAGTGACAACCCAGTTTTTCCATCATGTGTATAACCAGTTTGAATTAAACATCCAATGTTTAAAACTCTTATGTTCTGCATGGACCCTTGACTGATATACTTCGTGCCCACAGTTTTGTATTTTTACTATCTATGCACACATCTAGGAATAATCCATGCAATTGTTTTGGGGGAGGTCAAATGTAGATAAAATGTAGGAAAATAATATGCAGGAAACAATTTCAAACCAGGGGCTAGTGATATTTCCTTAATGAGCATTTTGTGTCTCTTGTGACTGTAATCATGCTGAATTTCTTGATTAAAAAGTTACAGAATAGGGACCGGCAGGTGGTGTGGTGAGTAAGGGCACTAGACTCCCACATAACTAATGGCGGTTTGATTCCTAGACCTGATGACTTAACTTTCTCACTTTCCCTCTCTCTCTCACTCTCTCCATCTCTGGTCAAATTAAAATCAATCAATCAATAAATAAATAAAGTTAAATAAAAAACAGTTCCTTTTTAAAAAATTTTACAGAATAAGCAAGTTCAGTTTCTTTTAATTGACTACACAACATTTTTTGTTTGTTTGTTTCACTTCAATTTGACCAGATAAATACTCAATAAAAAAGCAGAAATGGGACCAGCAGTTAGCATAATGGGTATGTCGCTATATTCCCATGTATTCGACCGTGGTTCAAGTTTGGGACCTGGTGGCTTAAAACTCACACCTGGTGCGTGCGTGTGCATGCCGAAGATCCCAAGAGGAGAATGGAGGAGAAGGAATTGTGGCATGGCCATCCCCCATGGGGGGTGATTTCTCTCTTTTTGTCTCTCTGTCTGGTGATCTCAGGCACCCTACAGCAAAAATCTCACACACACAAAAAAGGTAGAAATGGAGAAATGCTATATTTTAAAAGCAACTACCTAGTTTTTCCTCATTATATTTTCAACATTCAAGTAATGGGAACTTTATAGGTCTTGGGATCTTTAAACTTGGAATTCCAATAAATGCAATGAGGCCACCCTAAACTTTGTTTCCTAATTTTGGATAACAAAATAAAGCCACAATATTTAACCACTAAGCCCACAGCCACCTGATGGGGAGAGAATCTGAGGCAGTTACAACAGGTGTGTGGTAAATCAACTCTTCCTATCATTATGTAGGGAACTTGCCTTATGAATATGGAGAAAGAAAGAGCAACCTGGAAGGGGAAGATAGTAAGGCTGGGTATGAAAAGGGAAGGGAGATCGTCATAGGACGTAGACAAGCAGGAATTGAGTTCTCCTGTCCCAAGATTTTCTCCTTCCATTGTTAGAAATTGGTCTGACAAAATGAGCACTAACTACCCTAGCGATCTTGGAATGACTGCTGTTGTCCTGCAAGTCCCACGGAGCCTAAGGACTAGATTTATCCCATTGATATTTAAGTAGATCCAGCTAACATGGGTCATGTGATTCCCAACTACAACTGGGACCCAAAAGAAACTGCATCTCTCAGTCAGACTCCATAGTGCCCAACTACCCAGGCCCTCTTCAGTCATTTCAATAGCCTTGCAATAACTCCACATTTCACAGGATAAATACTTGAACCCTACTTATCACATTACTGTGGGATTTCACTGTATATTATAGAGCTAAAAGGCATATAGATTAGAGAGAGTCTCTTGTAGAAAATAATTTGCAGTAAAATTTGAAAAGATTCTTAACAATAAAGACTGGAAAATAAGCAATTTTTATTTTTGCTTTAATGAGTATCATAATAATGACTAGAACTGTAAACTCTGAATGTAAAAAATATACAAAAATAATAAGCAGTAAACAAACTTGGAAAAAACTATTTGTCATGTATGTGACAGAAAACATATTAGTAACTTTTTTTTTACAATGAAAAGGCCTTATTCTGATCAGTAAGAAAAATCTAAGATGCCTAAAGGAAAGTTGGCACATGAAAACTGACCATCACGTAATATGAAAAGTTGTTCATACTAGTAACCAGAATACAAATTAAAACAAGCTCTTTTCACTATTGAATGAACACAATTTAAAAAAAAAAAAGAAAATCTAGAAAGACGAAAAGTGTTGACAGTTAACATAAAATGTGTAATTGTTAAATGTCTTTTCCTGTTAAGTGATAACAAATTCCTTTAGTTTTTGTTATTCTTTTATGATATTTAATTTTTCTATAACAGAAAATAAACTTCTACAATTAGAGAAATATTAAATATTTAAAAACAACAAATAAGGATTTAACTAATGAGTTATTTCATACATTCTCTGGGAAAGACAAATCAGAGAAACACTTCTACTTGAAATTACTCTCATTCAATTGGCCGCTCACCTTTAGGAAACACACATTCTGAATGGACAAAGCAGTAGAATTTGATTATATTTTATTTAAAACTCTACCCAGTTGGTTTGTTGTCCTCATTAGTTGTCTGTCAGTAGGGTAAATGGTTTCTCAGGAATTCTACAAAATTCCTCACCCCTAAAACCTTATATTGCTGCCTTTCAGCACTTTGGTTGGTTCAAAAAGAGCTCTCAGATACGTTAGCGAGAGTTGGTGGGGACCAGGAAGAGCTCATCCATCATTTAAAAATTATATCACACATGACTTGTGCCCTAAGGACTTTGCCCTGTTCTCCTTGCTGTTTGGGATGCTCTGCCCTTAAACGCTGGGATGATTGCCTCAAATTCTTCAGATCCTTTCTCACTTATTCTCTTGGTGAGAAATCTTTTCATCCTCCTACTTAAAATTAGTCCTTCTCCACTGACATGCTCTTGCTCATCTCTGCTTTCTTTTCCTCCACAGCATTTGTTTATCTAATAATGTGTATTTTATACACTTGTTTGCTTGCTTGCTTATTCTGTTTCTACCCACTAGCATCTAGGTTTTATGGGAGAAGAGATTTTTATTCATAATTTCTGTATCCCCTGTGTCTCAATAATATCTGTTGAATGAATGGCTGGATGGATGGACATATGGATGATGGAAAGTGCTTCTATCTCAACTTTACATAGAGAAAACTGAAACTGCATCTCTTAACTGTTTCAGCCTATAATGTCAGCTCACATAATTGGAAATAATTCTATGAAAAACCCTACAAATAATCATACATTTCAAAGACCATACAACATTCTTAAACTAGTACTGAGAGGATGGTTTTAGAGTCAGGAATGATATGCAGAAAATGGCAGGCTTTAATCCATGATCAAAGTGTCATTTCTGCAGTAACAGTGAGGGATAGAATAGGAATTGAGGGACCATTAAGATCCCAGACCTTCAATTCTGTTTGCTCTACTCCATGCTGGAAAGAGGTGCATTCTTCTGTGAGCCATTCTTTCCTAGGTGTGAAGTGAACAGTGTTTGTTGGAGGCCATGGTCCCAGGACCTGCTTTTTCCTAGGACACAGCTTTGAGAGATCCGAGAGACAGTGATCAGGATGGCGGCTGCCCTAGCACTACCGTCTATGAGCCAAGTGTTGTAACAGCACAGGTGAGAAGCAGGGCAGACAGCCCATCCCACAGCCTCCTGGGACCTACCACAGTCTTTCAACCTCAGAATAATCCTGAGGACTAAAGAAG